CTCTCTCTCTCTCTCTCAATCTCCCTCCCTCCCTCCCGCCGGCATCTTCATACCCTACTATCATCCACCTCACATCTCTCACTAAACAGAGAAATTGTTACGTGCCGTGCACACACACGCACGCACACACACACAGCAGAGCATTTAAGCTCGCCGACACGACGCGCTCCTTTTTGTAACGTGATTGACAGATATGTGTCGCCCTTTTTCCGTTTGTGTGTTTGGCTGCCTCGCCCCACCGTGCCCCGCCGTGCCCCGCCACGCCGCCACGCCCTGTTGTCCGATGCAGGTCCGGACTAGGTCAGGCCGATAGCCAAAGCCGTGCCCAGGTCGGTTCAGGTAAAGAAACGACCACAAAGATGTGAGCTTCCAGTGCGCATGTGGGGGAGTCAGTGTGTCCTCACCGACAGTGATGTGGGGCAGCTATGGGAGTTATTTTGGCCTGACGCACTGCATTCCCGCACTGCATGGCACCGAAAGGCACTCTCGCGACACTGAAAGCAGAGTTCCAGGTTCTCCACTTGAACATTAAGCTCGCAAGAAAGTATACAAGAAGAAGGCTTCGCTATAGCGGCGTTGCGTTGGGTCGCCCATTGTAACAAAGTCCTGGTGAGATTTAATTGCATTTTTGTTAGAATACATGCCTTAGAGAAAAGTATTGGTAAATTTATCTCTCCATGATCCATACTGTTCGAGTGAAGCTATGAAAGCACCTTTGCCAAGGTTTCAACAGCTTTTGAGACATAGTCATTATACGAAAACTATCACGTGTTTGTCCGAGAATGGCCGCATGTCTGTCTACTACTTCACTTCTCCGATAAGCTAAGATTTTTCTCCTTAGCTATTGATGAAAGCACTTTACACTACTAAACCAATTGAATACGTGCAGCTATTCAACGTGCACATGATGTAAGTGTTAAACGCCCTAGTTTCACATGTAGGTATCCGACTCGGTATAGTTGTGCACAGGTAAGTGTGCAAGCTCCTGGTACACACGGTGTATGCCTCTACTTTCGGGTGTTGGTAGGAGAGAGAGAGGGAGAGAGAGTTGGATTGCCCTGCCGAGAGGCCGATGCCCCCCTGACTGGCTCGAGCCAGGGTCTGGCGTGGCGCGGCGTGGCGCTGCGCGGCCTGCGCTCCGCGGGTGCGCCTGTCGTCCCGAGCATAGGCCGCCCGCGTTGCAGCGCTGCTTCGGGCTGCAGGGCGCTGCCTACAGGCACGGGGCCGGCCATATCGATGTGGGGAAAGCGCTTGAAATGTCGATGCCGTATCGACTACATCGCCTTTTGGTTTTCTGCCACGACGGGAATATTTTATCTGACTGTTTTTAAAGATGACAACCCTTTTCACTACCCAGTAAGTTCACCTCTCTCTCTCTCTCTCTCTCTCTCTCTCTCTCTCTCTCTCTCTCTCTCTCTCTCTCTCTACCACACACACACACACA